ATTTCAGCTAAATTTCAGCTGTTTTCAGCAAGCAATAAGCATTCACACTGCATTTTCACAGGGAATGCAATTTCTCTAGTTTGTACTGTAGTTTATCACAATGTATTTTAATGCATCATTGATTAATATAATGTGTTGTATATTGTATCATAGTGTATGATATCATGTAAAATCCATGCAAGTGAAAAACAAATAAAACTATATGTGCATAACTGTTAGAATAATAACAAAGTATTTGACAACCCCCCCCCCCCCTAACATTTGTCTTGCATATTTCTCCCCGCTGTTTCATTTTTTTTAATGATGCCTATATAAATAAGTAGCTTTGGTTCGTGGGGGTGATCTTTGACCTTTCCCGAGGCCTTCATACGAGGAATTTCCAGCTTGTTGAACCGGCCTCTCCCCATCACTGACCCATCACAAATCAGCCCAGGGCAGAAGCAGCACATTACTGTGCTTATTTCAAGTCATGAGGAAGAAACACATAAAAACTTCAGACTTTGAAAGATGACTGAAGAGCATTTGAAGAATAGGACTAGTCAAAAATTACTAACAAACACCAGCAGCTGGTTAAAACATCTGAGTTGAACTCTGCCTCGTGGACATTTGTCTCCTTTACTCCTAAACTATAAAAGTGAGGCGCTGACATACGGCTGGGTTATGTAGATTTGACTCCACATGACATGATTTGCTTTTACTGATGCCTGTCTGGTTCAGGTTGCATAATACCCAAATGGTTCACCTGTTAGAGGAAATCAGTATAATCCAGTGCCACACAGCTCTAAATCTGCTCCCATCAAATTATAGAGCAGCAGGCACATAAAATAGTATAAACAAGATTAGGCCAAGCAGAACAGTTCATATGGAGGATTACTGTACAAACCACAGGTTGTCGAACCTTTCAGCTTGTAACACAAAATAACAGAGACTTGTAGCCTAGAAGCTAATTATACTAAAACATATTGACAACAAAAACAGGTTCAGCAACTTATTTACTATTTTTAGTAATTTGCATCACTTAGAAGACTTATACGAAAAATATATTTACACGTGCATAAGCTAAGAATGGGTGGAAAAATACGATTTTTCTTTATAATTTGATTTCTTGGGATTATTGCAAAACCCACAAGATCTTGATGGTTCCAGGTCCCAACGTTGGAAACCATTATTCTCAACCACCCTTAGCAAACAGCCCTGAGAGGACGTGCTAATATTGGCAATGGGTTTATACATCCAGGTGAACTGAATCAACAGTTTAATGAAGAATGGTAGGATTTAAAAAAAAACTGATGCTGACCCCATTGGGCTGAAATGATCAACTGAAATTAAAAAAGTATTCATTGGCGCTAATAAAAAATGGCGACATCTATAACTTGTGCCATCAGAAACTGAATTTGAATTGCTCAGACTGAATCTGTATTCACGTAATTTGAAATTAAATCCATTGGTTTGAAAATGAATTTAATGGTTTGACACTGAATTCATTTGCTTTGAAAATGTATTTCGTTGTATTGACAATTCGGTTCGACTATACTTTCATTTTCAGTTCTATAATTCAATTGAAATTCCAAAATTCAGATTTTGGGGGCACACATCTGGGTCTTTGAGGAAACCACAGAGTAATGGAACGCAGAATCAAGTCAGTGAAACTTCCTTTATGGAAATGTAGGTGTGGGGTTCGGTCTCGAGGAGGCGGTAATGAAACAGAGTGGACGCAATCCTCTGTAAAACACCAAAGACGAAAAAAGAACTTCCTTTACGGCGTATTTGGAGCAGTAGTGTGCATGAATTCATGCCAAGTTCATGTGGAAATAAAATAAATAAAAGAGATATTTGCTCAAAAAATTAAATTTAAAACTGAAACAAAAAAAAATTCAAGTGTGAAAATGTCAGGAGCTGTGATTTTTAAATTGTCATTAGAAGCTTTATGTACTTATTATTTTTAGATTTAGTTCCCTTGTTGTATTTCTATACGTTTCCGTTTGTTTTTCTCCGTGACCTCTGTGCCGTTAGTTTACTCTTCCTCCATACTTGTCCATTACCAGTATCTGCTCCTGCCATGCCTATCCACACCTGTTCTCCATTCCTGTTAGTCACAGCTGCAGCTGTCTCACCATTCCCAGCCTCAGTTCTCACTCCTCTCCCAGTCTGGCAGTGCGTGTGCTTCGTACCCCACTGGGATGCCTTTGTGCCATCTCTCAAGTTGTTTGTGTAAGTTGCTGCTGCTACATCAGTCTTTTTAGTTCTGGTTGTTTAACTAATTTCATTTTCCTCTGCATTTATAGGTCCAAACTCCACAAACCGTGACGGATAACAAATATAAAAGTGAAACTAAGGCGGCACGGTGGCGCAGTTGGTACAGCTGTTGCCTATAAGCATGAAGGTTGCCGGATCAAATCCCAGTTGTGAACCTTTCTGGGTGGAGTTCGCATGTTCTCTCTGTGTGGGTTTTCTCCAGTTTCCTCCCACAGACCAAAAACATGCATGTTAGGTTGACTGGTAACTCTAAATTGTCGAGTGAGAGTGTGAATGGTTGTTTGTCTCGTTTTTCATTTCAACAGACATAAACACTGTAAGAACAAATTCTTATTTACTGCGCTGGCCTAGCACCAACAGGTACTTGTAGGATCAGGGGAAGGGAAACAATGAAATGTAGTTAAATGACAACATTAATAAGCATGGAAACATTTGCAAGTATCTTTTAAAAAAAAAACAGCTTTTAAACTATTTTAAAACTATAAACTGAAGTGAGGTCAGACCCAAAGTTTTGTGAAGCAGATTCCAGTCAGATGGAGCAGCAGAGGCAAAGGCCACAGAGTCAGAGCGAGACTTGGTCTTTAGAGTTAACCACAAATACTGAGAGGATCAGGCGTTGTACTTTGAAACCAGCGTTAGTTGCAAATGTAACGTGTTCATAAATGTATTTGCTGGCAGAGTTTTTTTGTGTCCTGTTAGGACAAGGTGTGAAGAGATCTTTTTTTGTAATGCCACTATGGCTTTGTCCCTTTTTCTATCTAAAATATATATTCTGTAAAGGGTAAGAAGGCTGCACTTGTAGCAGCAGCTACGTGCACTCCGCCCATCTTTCGGATGAGACATATTCTCGTTGTATATCGGTGCAATGATAATAAAGCTTATTCTGATTCTGATTAGTTAAATATGGAGGTGACAAACCTCAGCAATGTCTTGTAAATATGACCAAATACTCTGTTAGTTTTTATATCTTGTGTATGTTCCTTTGCACTGAAACTCTGGCACAACAATTTCCTGCGGGATCAATAAAGTTCTATCTTATCTTATCTTAAATGAAGGTAAAGCAATGAATGTGTCTCTTTGTGTCCCTGTAATAGACTTAAGACCTGTCCAGGGTGCCCCCCCCCCCCCCCCCCCCATCTCTCGCACAGTGACTGCTGGATATGTGCACCAGTGACCCCCCTGAACCTGAAAAGGAAGACAAAGATAAAGGTAAGGATGGATGGAAAGTAAAACTAAACAAAAACACTTATGTAAATATTAACTAAAATAATTACATAATCTTAATTTAAGCAGAATGTACGGTTAAAAAAAAATGCTTATTTTTTTTGAACGGTAAAAAAAAAAAATGGCACTGATGGAGCTCCATACTGGTTTTCCAACAGGTGCTCTTAACGACCGCACGGGCGGTTCTGGCTCGGTTTGGGAGGCAGCAGTGAAGGCAGAGCCACGTGGCTCATGTTCTGAGGCCTCAGTAGAAACATCAACCCTGAAACCAGCCGGGTACAGGAGGTGAAACCCCGTCCTGCACGCGCTGCCACCTGTTCTCTGATGCGGTCCAATCGGAGCGAGCGGCGCTTCTGGAGGCGGAGAAGTTGGAGGAAGGAGTGCGCGAGACACCAACAGGAGACGCAGAGAGCTGGAGACTGAGTCACAGGTTGAACTCCGCTGCTCATCTTTAGACTGTTAATTCACTCAGGCTCGTGTTTTTATTTTTATTTTATTAATTTAATTTAATTTAATTTGTGACGCGCGCGGCCACAGGTTGGCTGATTTAATCCGCTCACTATGGATTATTCCTCCTCATCCCGCGCCGATTGTCTCTGAACCGGATCGGAAATGGGGCTCCGTCGATACATCAGCGACGACTGAGAGAGGAGAGGAGAGGAGAGGAGAGGAGAGGGGTGGAGGTGGAGGTGGGGGGGCCGTTTCTGAGCGCGCGCAGACGGACACAACATCTGTGGCGAGCGACGCGCAATTTGGCGAGGCGCGGACCTGTGGAGGAGCTGAAAACAAACAAACAAACAAACAAAACAGACGGATGACGATGGGATGTGACAACATGAAAAAGAAAAAGTGTGGCGGTCCGTGTTTTAACCAGCCGCTCATTCTACACCACTAACCTGGGGGACCGAGAGAAGAGGTCGGAGGTAGGAACACAAGGGGAGAAGATGGGGAGGAAAGAGAGGGGGGGTTGAAGGCGTCTGGCTTTATAGGGCTGAGAAAAGTAGGTTATTCCTCTGGATCGAGCAGCAACTTATGTTTAACAAGAGGCTGGAAGATGGTTCTCCCAAGATGACAATTGACAGATGTGAAAATATTAGTCTGAGCTTGAGCTCAAGCCAGAAGATTTTCACTCTTAAAGAAATATAAGGGAGTTAGACAGATGACTTTTTATGGATGAGATTGTTTGGGATGTGAGCGAACAAGAAGACTGGAAAACAGACAGGGGTGGGGGGTGTGGGGGGCTGATGGGGAGTTGACTCAAATGTGACTCAAGGAATAACATTATCCTCCAAATGATGCAGCTTCTCTGCACTCAGTTGCCCCTCTTTGTCACTCGTCCTTAAGCCTTTGGAGTTTAGGCTTTTCCCTGCATTGTTTATCCATGAGAGAATGCGTCCACTTCTCAGTGTCGCCCCTGCTTTTATGTTAAGAAAAGTCCTTGCTTTCATTCCTTTGTCACCTCTGACTGAATTGTTTTTCTGTGTTAAACTGTAGACAGGTGCGTCGCCACAGCTCTGACCATGGAGCCTCCCCCTTCTCTGAGCTTGTCTCTGCTTGGAGGAAGCGAGGATGAGGACCAGCGCTTCCTTCTCCCCATAGGCAGCATATCCCATCCTTCTACCGCTGGCAACCAGCCAGGATCAAACCACGCCAACCACACGGGAGGTTCGAGCCTTGACCATCTAAATGGCAGCACCCCATCACCTTCCTCTGCCGCACCCAGCTTGCCTCCAGCACCGCTCCCCAAGTTGCCTCTATCTTCCTCTGGAGCTCAACCTCTGCCCCCGCCCATTCCCAACGCCCTGCACCCAACGAGCACCCCGCTCTCTTCCTGCCTGGGCTCACAGCACAGCCTGAGTGGGGACAATTCCCCGGTCTACAATGCCCTCTTTTACTCCTCCCACTCCCCCTCCATGGACCGAGAGAGGGACAGGGAGCGTGAAAGGGAGAGAGTTGAGCGAGAGCGGGGCAGCAAGCACAGGCAGGCCAGTCCTTTGGTTCATCGCAGGGACAGTAACCCCTTCACCGAAATCGCCATGAGCTCCTGTAAGTACACAGGGGGTGTCATGAAGCCTCTGAGCCGCCTCAGCGCTTCCCGGAGAAACCTCATCGAGTCCGACAGCAGCAGCGAAACCAAAGAAGGCGGCGTTTTGGCTGTCGCAGGGGTATCGGCCGCTGGTGGACACGACCGACCACGAGACGCCCCATCTACCTGCTCTATGACCCAGTCATCCTCTCATCCACCTCCAATTCAAAGCCCGCCAGAGATTGTGATTTCCTCCAAAGAAGACTCACCGTACCTCAGACGAGGGTATGACATCACTGACTCAACATCCAACCAAGTGTCTATCTACCACCAGAACCACGCACTAGTGGAAAGCAGGCGGACACAGACAGATCGGGGCAGCAGGCAGAGTGGGGTGGGGACGGTGGGCACCGGGGCCAGGGGCAGCACTTCCAAAGCTCCAAAACGAAAGAACCAAAACATTGGCTATAAGCTGGGGCATCGTAGGGCTCTGTTCGAGAAGAGGAAGAGGCTGAGTGACTACGCCCTCATCTTTGGAATGTTTGGCATCGTCGTCATGGTGATTGAAACGGAGCTGTCGTGGGGCGTCTACTCCAAGGTGAGGAGACTGACCGGGAACGTTAGCCAAACATGGATGTTTTTACACATAAAGATCTTATTTGTGGTGTCAGGCAGTTCTGTCCAAGTCTTAGTAATTAACTCCAACAATGACTTTAAAAAAGTCAACCAACGGTTTGGGAATAGTGGGGGAATACCAGGAGTTCACCAGGCGGGTACGATCGTACAAACAAAGGTACAAAGAAGTTGAGTGTACATTTATACAATGAGGACAATAATTAAAGCAGAAATGACAAAAAGGACTAATTACCACATTAGGCTTAAGATACGTACAAGCTTAAGAAAATTACCATACCTGACATTTTCCCCTCCACACAAGGTTTCCCAATTTGATTTTACTATACCCTTTGTTGCTTTTAGACCACAAGTTTCTATTTTAGACAAAATAAGAAAGCATTTTTACAGCTTTGATTGGTTAAATCCTGTATTTAATATCATTATTTTGCAAAGAATAAAGTGCCCTTGCATATTAGCCCTTAAGGCAATGTTCATTTGTAGTTCTGGTGTTTGGAAAGACATTTTCTCTTATTATCTTGACAAATCATCCCAAGGCATAAATGCCAGCATATTTCTGTTTAGATGTCTCTCATATGCCCTCCAGTTTTTTAAAGTATAACAGTAAACTTTTAAAATGCCCATTTAATGGGACGATCAAAACCACAATTTTATCGCAAGATTGCCAAAAAGTCTGTCGTTTTGTGCCGGCATCTCCTGCGACGGTGAGACACAACAAGCCAAGTGAAAGGGAGGCTTTGTAACAACGGGCACCGTCCAGGTCACACCCCATCTTTGGCCTTGTGGATGAAGCAGTGGTCACAATTCCAACTTGGTACCTGCTTTTGCTCAGTCTGAGCAGCACTGTGTGCACGTTGTTGTGTACTGTAATGACCGAGCCTGACAGTTGCTGCTTCTGGGTGATGTAATGCAACGATGCAGCGGACGTGGGGGCAGATTATCAGAAGGAGGCCAGGATCTCATTTGGCTGTGTAATGGGCAGTGTAATAAGCTGAACTGGCCCCTGGCTGCTTTTGTGTGTTTATTTTGGGTGTGTGCGTTAGGGACACTCCGAGCATCTCACCCCCCCAGTGTATAGATTCTTCTGTCCTCGTCCCATTCGTCTTCACTGTGTGACACATCAGACACTGGGTTTTCCTTAGCTAATGACTTGGAAACATTACTTTCACTCGTGCAGGCTTGCCACAGATGGATCATTGATCATGTGACAAGAAATGGTGGGATTTACAGGTAGCCTTTAAAAGCAGGGTGTGTCTACCATTTTCCCTTTTCTGTGTCAGCGTGTGGTCACCAGATTATCATAATGGTCACTGTTTTGCTGCTTGAAGAATCCACCATTTCCGTGCTGCATGCTCCCTCTCCTACTCATTAGTTTGTGAAAACCACTGTTTTGAAGCAGTGTCTTTTTTTCTTAATGAAAATGCCTGGCCTCTGTTGTCCTCGAAGGAGACAGCCGACACTTTTATATTCTTTTCCTCCATCTGTCCATTTGCCCCTCTTCAAATCCACATCTGTCTTTATCCTGATTCCTTTATTTCCTATCTTTCTTTCATTGTACACCCCCCCCCCCCCAACTCCCTCCTTAGTTTCTCACTCCCTCTGTTTCTGTGCTGTTGCAGAGGGCGTCAAACTGGGGGAGTGTGATCGGAAGATAGAAGCAGCTGAGCGAGAATGAAAGTCTGTGGAAGGATAGCAGAAAGGAAAATCCTGATTTGAGTTCTTGACTTACAGTCGATGCTAGCCTCAGTCATCGCTAACTGGCAGTGTTGTCTATCAAAAGCAAATGAATGAATATTTGTTTGATCGTGGTTATCGCAGTTTGTCATCTATCTCACTACATCCATTAATTTATTGTAAATAATTTGGAGAAGCGTCCATTTAATTCTGACCAGATGAGTGAACAGCCAGTCCAAGTAATGCCAAGACCAAAAAGGACTGTGTTTATCCTGTAACTGTCCAATCAAAAGAAAGATAGCATTCATAAAAATGTTTTTTTTTATTATTATATAATTTTCTATGTTCCATCAACTTTGCATCGCACGGTTTTTCCAGAAGACATATTGCATTGCTCCCAAGACTCCTGTGCAATTTCCATTTAAAAGTAAAGACTCAAAAGTTCTAACAACTTTTCAAGCACTTTTTATGTTTAAGTTAAGTACTAGCATTTTCTGTTAATTAAAACCCTGAGGAGGGAATATGCCAGGAGACAGAGGGAGAAGAAGAAAGTAATTTGTGTAGGACTGAGGATAGCAACTTTTAAACAAAGGCACAATGACAGGTAGAGAGCTGGCTGACGATGCAGAGAAGGAAAGTGCATTGTGTGCAGGAGAGACTAAGTGGAAGGACAGTGAGACCTGTGGCATTTGGACAGTTTAAGCTCTTTTACCATAGGGTGGATAGGAGGAGAAATGGAGTAGGAGTGGTCCTGGAGGAGGAGGTTGCTAGGAATGTAGTGGGTGATGTGTCTGATGTTGAATGTTGGTGGTGGTGATGCTCCACAGGTTGGATGTCACGTAGGGAAGGAGAAATTCTGGAAGGATCTAGACAAAGTGATAGAGAGTATTCCCATGGAGGAGAGAGTGGACATGTGTGTAAATGAAACGGAGGGGATGAGGAAGTGATGGGTGGGTTTGGTGTCAAGGAAAGCAACTATGGTTTCTAAGAGAATGGAAATGGTTGTAGTCAACCATTTGTACAATTTATACCATATGTAGTCATTTCAAAAAGGGAGAAGAACACAGAGTGATCTATGAGAGTGGAGGAAAGAGTATGCAAGTAGACTACATTTTGTGTAGAAGAGGAAACCTGAGCTAGATTGGGGACTGTAAGATTGTGACAGGGGAGAGCGTGGACAGACGGCATCAGATGGTTGTGTGTAGAATGACTGTTGTGGTGAAGTAGAGTAAAAAAGTAAAATCAGAGAAGAAAACCAAACAGTGGAAACTGAGGAAGTAAGAATGTTGTAAGAAATTCAGAGAGGAGCTGTTAAAGGCTCTGTGTCGTAAGACAGAGCTTCCAAATAACTGGGCTAATACAGCAACATTAAATAGTGAAACAAGTAGGAAGGTCTTGGTGTGCCATCTGGACAGAGAATAGATCATAAAGAAACCTGGTGGTGGAATAGTGAAGTGCAGGAAGTTATCCAGAGGAAGAGGTTAACTAAATATAAAATAGAAATGGAACAATGAGAGGACTGATGAGAGTAACAGGAATATACAGAGATGCAATGTAGGAGGTGGCAAAGCAGAAGGCGTATGATGAGTTGAATGGGATGCGTGACTTTAAGGAGGGAGAGAGGGACTTGTACAAATTTGTGAGACAGGGGGATCAGACTGGAAAGGATGTGCAGCAGGTTAGGCTTGTTCAAGATAGATATTTCGGCTTTTTGTTGTAGATAGCAACAGTAATATTTCTGTAATGTTTGAAGGGATCTCTGATCGGAACAGTAGATTTTGTTTTATCATTTCAGGGCTTATATTTTATTTTGACAGATGCCGCAGTAAATCAATGTGTCTGAAGAATAATTTTGTTTGATTTAGTAGATTTATGTCTTCTGTTTATTAACATTTATATTTATTGAGAGGTTTAAACCTTGTAAAACTGCGACAGATTAGTGGCAGTCATTCAGTGACCACAAAAAGTAATTCAAGCCAACTTAAATTATCTTCAATCTGAATTTTTGTTTCCATGTTTCCATGGCAACACCTGAACGCTGCATAAATCTCTCTGTGTTCATGATTACTGTACTCTTTCCTTTTTGACTTTATTATTGTGTATGGATGCATGTCAGGTGTTGGCAGCTTGTTCTTATAGTTTAAACAGTTTTATATTTTTGCAACCAAAAAAAAAGAAAAAGAAGAGGCTGTTGTTGTAAGACACATGATCGAGTGAGCATGAAGTGAATGGGGGTGGGTGGAAACAGATGTTCAGATTCAGTGGTACCATTGAGTTTCTGGAACTTGTCTACTGGTGAACAGGGTAATGAATGTTTAATTTTCATTTTGTTTTGCAACTGTACATTTGACACTTTATCTTAAGATGGCCCTGGACACCCCCTCCCTCCTGCACATACACACAATTAGCCTTTAAAAATGGTGGTGGTGGGGGCGGGGGGCAAATGAATGAAGAGAATAAAAGTAATAGAAACTGTCAACCAGGAAGTGAGAAAAAGATTAGATTAGTGAGAGAGAAGTTCGGAAAACTCTGAGAAGAATGAAGAAGGGGAATGCGGTAGGATCTGATGACGGTGGAAGTTTAAGAATGTCTAGTAGAGATGGCAGTGACATTTTGACTCAATTATTCAATGATATTTTTCAGAGTGAGAAAATGCCTGAAGAATGGAGAAGTGTACTGGTCCCCATTTTTAAGAACAACGGTGATGTACAGAGTTGTAGCAACTACAGGGGTATTAAGTTGATGAGCCGCAATGATGAAGATCTGGGAGAAAATTGTAGAAGCTGGACTTGGGCGAGAGCTGACTGTGAGCAGCAGTATGGTTACATGTTGAGAAAGAGCACAACAGATGCCGTCTTTGCTTTGAGGATGCTGATGGAGAAGTACAGAGAGGGTCAGAAAGAACTCCATCGTGTCAGCTTTATAGCTCAAATCCTACACACTCTGTTCTTTGAATTGAGAAAGCTCCTCGGATGAGAAGTGAAATGTCTTCAGTTACAAATAAAGTCCAGTTGTTTTTGCTTTTAATCTTGTTTGGATTTACCATGTCCAGGATGAATGAGAATCTTCACCAGCGTAACTCCATTGTGTATTTGTGGATTTAGAAAAAGCACATGACAGGGTGTAGAGGGAGGGGAAGTGGTATTGCATGAGGAAATCTGGAGTGGTAGAGAAGTATCAGACTGGTACAGCACATGTATGAGGACAGTAGGACAGTGGTGAGATGTGCTGTAGGAGTGACAGCTAGCTTCAAGGTTGAGGTGGGAGTGCATCAAGGATCGGCTCTGAGCC